CAATTTCTGGATCAATAGTATTAGCTGGCGTTTTATTAAAATTAGGAGGATATGGGCTTATTCGAGTAATAATTATATTTTTAGATTTTAAATTTATAAATTTATTAATTATAAATATTTCATTGTTCGGAGCTGTAGTTATTTCTATAATTTGTTTACGTCAAAGAGATATAAAATTATTAATTGCTTATTCTTCTGTTTCTCATATGGGTTTAGCTTTAGCTGGAATTATAAGGTTAAGTTATATAGGTATAATTGGGGCTTTAATTATAATAATTGCCCATGGTTTATGTTCTTCTGGTTTATTTAGTATTGCAAATATAATATATGAACGAACAATAAGACGAAGAATTTATTTAAGAAAAGGATTTTTAAATATTATACCTTCTTTAAGCTTATGAATATTTTTATTATGTTCTTCAAATATAGCAGCCCCCCCCTCAATAAATTTATTAGGTGAGATTTTTTTAATTAATAGTTTAGTCAGATTTAGAAATTTGAATATATTATTTTTATTTTTAACTACATTTTTTAGAGGGGCTTATTCATTATATTTATATTCTTTTTCTCAGCTGGAAAATTTAGTTCTTATATTTTTAGATTTATAAATATAAATATTCGTGAACATTTTTTATTATTATTACATTGAATACCTTTAAATATATTGTTATTAATTAGAAATTTATTAATTTATAATTTTTAATAAACTTAAATATTTTATATAAATAAAATATTAATTTGTGGAATTAAAGAAATGGAAACATTTTAAGTAATAAAAATTTGTAAAATTTATTCATTTTGGATTTTGATTTTTTCTGTATTATTAATTTTAATTAGTATAAATTTATTAATTAAGGATAAAGTTTATTTGTTAGAGTATGAATTATTAAATTTTAATTCCGTTTCTTTAATTTTTTCTTTATTAATTGATTGAATATCTTGTATATTTATAGGATATGTATTATTTATTTCCAGAATGGTAATTTTATATAGAGAAGATTATATAAAAGGAGATTTAAATATTTCTCGATTTATCATATTAATTTTGCTGTTTGTTATTTCTATATTATTATTAATTATTAGCCCAAATTTAGTGTCAATTTTATTAGGATGAGATGGCTTGGGCTTAGTGTCTTATTTATTAGTAATTTATTATCAAAATGTTAAATCTTATAATGCAGGTATGTTAACAGCTTTGTCTAATCGTATCGGAGATGCGGCTTTATTATTATCAATTTCTTGAATAATAAATTATGGTAGTTGATCTTATATTTATTATTTAAATTTTATAAAAAGAGATTTTTCTATACAGGTATTAGTATTATTTATTGTTTTAGCTGCATTTACTAAAAGAGCTCAAATTCCTTTTTCTTCATGATTGCCAGCAGCTATAGCTGCCCCAACTCCCATTTCTTCATTAGTTCATTCATCTACTTTAGTAACTGCAGGAGTTTATTTATTAATTCGATTTCAAGAAGCTTTTAGTAGAAGATTAATATTTTTAATATTATTTTTAAGAATAATAACTATATTAATATCTGGTATTGCAGCTAATTTTGAGAATGATTTAAAAAAAATTATTGCTTTATCAACATTAAGGCAGTTAGGATTTATGATAAGAATTTTATTTTTAGGTAGAGTAGATTTAGCTTTTTTCCATTTATTAATTCATGCTTTATTTAAAGCTTTAATGTTTATATGTGCAGGAATTATTATTCATAATTTTAGAGGATGTCAGGATATTCGTTATATAGGAAGATTAATTAATCAAATACCGGTTATTTCTAGAATTTTTTTTTTTTAGAAATATAGCCTTATGCGGGATACCATTTTTATCGGGATTTTATTCTAAGGACTTAATTCTAGAAAGAATAAGAATAGGATATATAAATATATTTATATTTTTTATTTTTTATTTATCTATTGGTTTGACAGTAATATATACTTTTCGATTAATTAATTATTTAGTTTTAGGTGATTATAATTATTATAGTTTATGTTCTATTCAAGAAAGAAATAATTTGATAATAAAGAGATTATTTGGATTATTAATTTTTATCGTTATTAGAGGGAGGATGTTTTCTTGAATTATTTTTATTTATCCTATATATTTTTTTTTACCTTTAATAATGAAATTACTATCCTTTTTAATAATTTTATTAGGGATTTATTTAGGTTTTAAGTTATCAAAAATAAGAATTAATATAAAAATTAAATCTCTAAGGTTTCTTAATTTAGTGAAGTTTCAATCTTTTATATGAAATATACCAATTTTATCAACTTATGGGCTGAATCATTTAGTATTAAATTTAGGTCAAAAATTAAATTATTTAGATCAAGGATGAATGGAGTATTATGGAAGAAAAAAATTATTTTTTTTATTAATTAATTCTTCTAAGGGATTACAAAAGATTTTTATAGATAAATTTAAAATTTTATTATTTTTATTTTTAATTCTTATTTTTACTTTTATTTTAATTATTTAATTTAATAATTTAAATAGCTTATATAATAGAGCATAGTATTGAAGATACTAAGGAAATAATTTTATTTTTAAATAATAAATTTATAGATAAATATATCAATTTTACAGTGAAAATGTAATGTTTTAAATTAAACTATATAAATATTTCTATGTATATATATATATATATATATATATATAGAAATATAAACGCACTTAGCGCTTTGAACCTATGTTAGAAGCATAGTTTAAAGAATATTTCTTTAATTGGAGAAAACTCAATTTTATCATTAACAGTGATAGACCTCTATTTTGGTTTCAATTAAAGTAAGGATTATTCATCTAAATTTTAGGTCGAAACTAAAGGCAATTTTTTGCTTCATACTATTTTATAAGATAAATTTATGGAATATCTTTTAAATGCAAATTAAATGTTTTTCTTAAACTATTATCCTTTAGTTTGATCATTCTAATGCCCCTAATTTCCATTCGTGAAATAACCCCAGTAAAAGAATAATTAAAAAAAAACTAATAGAGTAAAATAATCTAAAAATATTTGAAAATTTTAATGAGAAAATAATTGGTAAGAGTAATGTTAATTCAATATCAAAAATTAAAAAAATTAGAGCAATTAAGAAGAAATGTAATGAAAATGGTATACGAGAATTATTTTTTGGATCAAATCCACACTCATAGGGCCTACTTTTCTCACGATCGATTAATGTTTTTATAGATAAAAAATTAATTAAGATTATTAATATTAAAATAACGATTATAATTATTAATGATAGATAAAAAATTATTATTATTATTTATACTAAAAATTTAGATTTTTTGATTGGAAGTCAAATATAATAATTTATATTATATAAATAAAATTATCTTCTTCATCAGTAAATAGATAAATATAAAAATAATCATACTACATCTACAAAGTGTCAATATCATGCGGCAGCTTCAAATCCAAAGTGATGAATTGAAGAAAAATGCCTAATAAATAGACGAATTATTATAATTAAGAGAAATGTAGTACCAACAATAACATGAAATCCATGAAATCCAGTTGCTATAAAAAAACAAGTTCCATAAATAGAATCTGAAATTGAAAACGAAGCTTCATAATATTCAAGAGCTTGAAGTAGAGTAAAGTAGATCCCTAGGCCAATAGTTCATATAAGTCTTTGAAGTGCTTGAGAATAGTTATTTTCTATTAATCTATGATGAGCCCAAGTTACTGTAATACCTGAAGATAACAAAATTAATGTATTTAATAAGGGGATATTTATAGGATTAAAAGTATTAATTGATTTAGGGGGTCATATTATTGCCAATTCAATATTAGGAGAAAGACTATTATGGAAAAATCTTCAAAAAAATGAAATAAAAAATAAAATTTCAGATGTAATAAATAAAATTATCCCTCATCGGAGCCCGGATGAAACTTTTAGAGAATGCAATCCTTGGAGGGTTCTTTCTCGTGTAATATCTCGTCATCATTGAAATAAAATTAATAGTATAGAAATTAATCTAAAAATCAATAGATCAATTTGATATAAGTGGAATCAAGAAATAAGCCCTATTAATAGATTTAATAAATTAAAAGAAATTAATAGTGGTCAAGGCCTTGGATTTACTAAATGAAAAGGATGATTTTGAGTTGTCATTAATGAATTTCTCTAGCATAAAGAGTAATAAGAATAGAAAATACATATGCTTGGATTAAGCTCACTGCAGATTCTAAAATTAGTAATAAAATTTGAATAAAAATCAAAACATTAATTGTTAGAAAATTTATATATTGACCTATATTTCCTAATAAGGTTAATAATAAATGGCCGGCAATTATATTAGCCGTTAAACGAATGGCTAATGTTATTGGGCGAATTAAATTTCTAATTAATTCAACAATTACTAAAAATGGCAATAAGAGAGCAGGGGCTCCCATGGGCACTAAATGAGCTAATATATTTATTGTATTAAAGGTAATGCCAAAGATTATAAAAGTTAGTCATAATCTTAAACTTAAACTTAAAGTAATAGGTATATGGCTGGTTCTAGTAAAAATGTAAGGGAATAATCCTATGAAATTATTTAGTATAATAAAAATAAAAATTCTTAATAAAATTAATGTTGATCTTTTTATATTTTGAGGAAGCAGGATTTTTAATTCTTTATGAATTCTTCTAGTAAGAATAATTCAAGATATATTATAACGAGAAGGAATAAATCAGAAAAAAGATGGTAATAGAATCAAACTTAATATAATTCTTAGCCAATTTAAGTTAAATAAATTTGTAGAAGGATCAAATGAAGAAAATAAATTTATTATCATTTTCAGTAAGTTTTAGGTAAATTTAAATTTTTAAAATAAATTTTATTATTAATTTTAGGCAAATAAATATAATAAGTTAAAATAATAATAATAATAAAAATTCTAATTGTGTAAATATATAAAAATGATCAACTTAAAGGAGCTATTTGTGGTATTAAAAACTAACGGGGCGCAGATATTTTTAACTTGACAAGTTAATGTTTTATAATAAAACTAAGTTTTTCATTAGAAGTAATTTTTTAGTTTACTATAAATTGATTTAAGAGATCAATGCTTAAAATTTCAGCCATCTAATGTTAATTATTTTTTAATCATTTAAGAAAAAAATTAGAAGAGATTCTTTCTACTACAATAGGTATAAACCTATGATTGGAACCGCAAATTTCGGAGCATTGACCAAAGAAAATTCCGGTTCGATTAATAAATATATTTGCTTGATTAAGACGTCCAGGAGTTGCATCAATTTTTAGCCCAGCTGAAGGTAAAGCTCATGAATGGATGACATCTTCTGAAGTAATTAATAGGCGAATGTAAGTGTTAAAAGGAATTACTATTCGATTATCAACATCTAATAATCGAAAGTTGAAGTTATTTTGTGGAATTATATAAGAGTCATAATTGAAATTTTGTAAATCTGAATATTCATATGTTCAGTATCATTGATGTCCGATAATTTTAATAGAAAGGGCAGGTTTATTTAGTTCATCTATAATATATAATAATCGCAGAGATGGCAAAGCAATTATAATTAAAATTATAATGGGTATAATAGTTCAAATTAGTTCTATAGTTTGGTTTTGTAAAAAGAATCGATGGTTAAATTTATTTAATAAGTAAGATAATATAATTTGACTAATTAAAATTGTAATGATAATTAAAATTATTAATCTATGATCATGGAAAAAAATTAATTGTTCTATTAAGGGTGAAGTACTGTCCTGTAATGTTAATGTTTTTCAAGTAGACAATTCTAAAAAAAGATAAACTTTATATTAAGAGCTTAAATCTTATGCACTATTCTGCCATTTTAGAATTTAGTAATTAAAGGGATTTCATTAAATCTATGTTCAGCGAGTGGTAGTGATCTTAATCATTCAATTGAAGAGGAAAAATTTAAAGTAGTTAATGTTTGTCGGCTAAGAATTAAACTTTCTCAAATAATATAAATAAAGAATATTAATCTTAGTGTAGAGATTAATCTACCGATTGAAGAAATGATATTTCATTTAGTAAAAGAATCTGGATAATCGGAATAACGGCGAGGTATTCCTCTTAATCCTAGAAAATGTTGAGGGAAGAAAGTTAAATTTACTCCAATAAATGTTACAATAAAATGTCTTTTTAAAAGTTTATTATTGAGAGTTAACCCAGTAAATAACGGGTATCAGTGAATAAATCCTGCAATAATTGCAAATACTGCCCCTATTGATAAAACATAATGAAAGTGGGCAACAACATAGTATGTATCATGAAGAATAATATCAATAGATGAGTTAGCTAGGACTACTCCAGTTAATCCGCCAATAGTAAATAAAAAAATGAAACCTAATGATCAAAGTGTAGTTGGTTCAAAATTTAATTTAGTTCCATAAAGTGTAGCTAATCATCTAAAAATTTTAATACCGGTTGGAATAGCAATAATTATAGTGGCAGAAGTAAAGTAGGCCCGAGTATCAACATCTATTCCGATAGTAAATATATGATGAGCCCAAACTAAAAATCCTAAAAGACCAATAGCTAATATTGCATAAATTATACCTAAAGTTCCAAAAGTTTCTTTTTTATTTCTTTCTTGAGAGACAATATGAGAAATTATTCCAAATCCTGGAAGAATTAAAATATAAACTTCGGGGTGTCCAAAAAATCAAAATAAATGTTGATATAAAATAGGGTCCCCCCCTCCGGCTGGATCGAAGAATGAGGTATTAATATTTCGATCAGTTAATAATATAGTAATAGCTCCCGCAAGTACGGGAAGAGAAAGAAGAAGTAATAGAGCAGTAATACCGACAGCTCAAGAAAAAAGTGAAATTTGATCTATGGGTATATTATGAGGCCGTATATTAATAATTGTGGAAATAAAATTTGTTGCCCCTATAATTGAAGAGATTCCCGCTAAATGTAAGCTAAAAATTGCTAAGTCAACTGAACTTCCTCTATGAGCAATATTAGATGCTAGTGGAGGATAAACGGTTCATCCTGTTCCAGCGCCTTTTTCAATAATTCTTCTAATTAATAGAAAAGTTAAAGATGGCGGTAAAAGTCAAAAACTTATATTATTTATACGGGGAAAAGCTATATCAGGAGCACCGAGTATTAGAGGAACTAATCAATTGCCAAATCCTCCAATTATGATAGGTATAACTATAAAAAAAATTATAATAAATGCATGGGCTGTAACTATTACATTAAAAATTTGATCATCACCAATTAATGATTGAGGATTTCTTAGTTCAATTCGAATGATAAAACTTAGAGAAGTGCCCACTAATCCAGATCAAAGCCCTAAAATAAAATATAGTGTACCAATATCTTTGTGATTAGTAGAGTAAAGTCATTTATTCGGTAAATTTAATAAAGTGGCTGAAATTTTAGGCGATGAATTGTAAATTCATTTATAAATATAAATATATTTCTTTATTAAACTATATAGTCTATAGGAATAGGATTTTAAGATGCAAGCTTAAAGGAAATTTAAATTGGTTTATAGTTTAAGAATTAGGAATAAATTCTATTGTTAACTTTGAAGGTTAAAAGTTTTTTTAACTTAAATTCTTTTTTAAAAAAATAAAATTAAAAAAATTATAAGTCCTATAAATGAGATTATATTAGTTAAATAAATAAATAGATTTAACTTAAAAATATTTTTAGAGTGGGAAATTATTTCTGTATGATTAATTATTAATATAGGAAGTGCGATTCGAATATATATGAAAATTATAATTAAAGTTGAGATTAATATTAATAATCTTAATATAAAAAAGTTATTATTAATTAATTTATTGATAATTAATCATTTAGGTAGAAATCTAAAGAAAGGCGGTAATCCTCTTATAGATAAAAAATTAAGAGAAAAAATGAATTTAAAATATTTAAATTCATTTAGAGAATAAAATAATTGTGTTAAAGAATAGATTTTATTAACATTTAAAATTATAATAATATTGATTGATAGGATAAATATATATAATAAAATATATAATAAAAATTTGTATATTAATTAGTCTTGCAATTAATCAACTTATATGATTAATAGAAGAATAAGCTAGAATTTTTTGTAGATTAATTTGATTAAGTGATTGAATTCTCCCAACTATTGAAGATATAATAATAATGATAGAAATAAATAAGGTAATAGAGAAATTATAGGAAATTATAATTAAAGGAGCAATTTTTTGCCAAGTTATTAAAATTAAAGTGTTATTTCAATTTAATCCTATAATAATTTCCGGGAATCAAAAATGAAAAGGAGCGGCGCCTAATTTTATAAATAATGCACAATTTAATATAATTATTAGAATATTATTATTAAAAAATAAAGGATTAATATGTAAGTTAAGAATAATTCTAAACAGTAGAATATTTGAAGCTAAAGCTTGGATAATAAAATATTTTAATGCTCTTTCTGATGAAAAAATATTTTTAGAATTGATTATTAATGGAATAAATGATATTATATTAATTTCTAATCCTATTCATATTGAAAATCAAGAATAAGAAGAAATGACTAATAATGTTCTGAAAATTAATGTATTTAAAAATAATAATTTATAAAATTTAATAATTAAAAAGAGAGAATAATCTCATAATTGGGGTATGAGCCCAAGGGCTTAGCTTAGCCTATCTTTTTATATTTAAGTATAAGAGGTATAAAAGTTTTTGACACTTTAGGAAATAGTTTAATTCTATTAAATATAAGTATTAATTATTATTATATAAATAATTGTACTTAAAATATTTCCTTATTAATTATTATTATATAAATAATTGTACTTAAAATATTTCCTTATTAATTATTATTATATAAATAATTGTACTTAAAATATTTCCTTATTTATAATTATTATATAAATAATTGTATTTAAAATATTTCCTTATTAATTATTATTATATAAATAATTGTACTTAAAATATTTCCTTATTAATTATTATTATATAAATAATTGTACTTAAAATATTTCCTTATTAATTATTATTATATAAGTAATTGTACTTAAAATATTTCCTTATTTATAATTATTATATAGCGCTTAGGTTAAGATTCAGGTTCCTAGGCCAATATTCAACTCCTGATCAGTAGAGTTTTCAATTCAGCCTGGAACTTTTTCTAGCACCAAATCATTGCATAAGCGAGATTCTGCTACGAACTCAGGTCCCTAGGCCAATATTCAACTCCTGATCAGTAGAGTTTTCAATTCAGCCTGGAACTTTTTCTAGCACCAAATCATTGCATAAGCGAGATTCTGCTACGAACTCAGGTTCCTAGGCCAATATTCAACTCCTGATCAGTAGAGTTTTCAATTCAGCCTGGAACTTTTTCTAGCACCAAATCATTGCATAAGCGAGATTCTGCTACGAACTCAGGTCCCTAGGCCAATATTCAACTCCTGGTCGGTAGAGTTTTCAATTCAGCCTGGAACTTTTTCTAGCACCAAATCATTGCATAAGCGAGATTCTGCTACGAACTCAGGTCCCTAGGCCAATATTCAACTCCTGATCAGCAGAGTTTTCAATTCAGCCTGGAACTTTTTCTAGCACCAAATCATTGCATAAGCGAGATTCTGCTACGAACTCAGGTTCCTAGGCCAATATTCAACTCCTGATCAGTAGAGTTTTCAATTCAGCCTGGAACTTTTTCTAGCACCAAATCATTGCATAAGCGAGATTCTGCTACGAACTCAGGTCCCTAGGCCAATATTCAACTCCTGATCAGTAGAGTTTTCAATTCAGCCTGGAACTTTTTCTAGCACCAAATCATTGCATAAGCGAGATTCTGCTACGAACTCAGGTTCCTAGGCCAATATTCAACTCCTGGTCGGTAGAGTTTTCAATTCAGCCTGGAACTTTTTCTAGCACCAAATCATTGCATAAGCGAGATTCTGCTACGAACTCAGGTCCCTAGGCCAATATTCAACTCCTGATCAGCAGAGTTTTCAATTCAGCCTGGAACTTTTTCTAGCACTAAATCATTGCATAAGCGAGATTCTGCTACGAACTCAGGTTCCTAGGCCAATATTCAACTCCTGATCAGCAGAGTTTTCAATTCAGCCTGGAACTTTTTCTAGCACCA